AGTGAGAATGAGACGAACTATCGTGGAGGAGAGGAGGAATAAGAAGATAAACAAAAATGATATAATACACATAACAACACACACACTATATATATATTGTAATATTATTTTTCGAACATAGTAATGTAATGTAGAATATAATATATATATTATATATATATTATATATATATATTATCGTATCGTAACGCGATCATTTCGTATAGCGCTAGGCTGGACGAGGTGTTTTTGGAGGTTTAAGAGAATTAATTAAGGTGGGCCAGAAGCGGGCGGGCGTGCTGAACGGCGCGAGGTCACACTGATATTTTTACCAAGTTTTTCGAGTATTGGAGATCCCCCACGATTCCTATATAATGAGAACTTAAATGTATCCTCGCGCCACTGCCGCCTCCGCGCTATTTATTAGCGTACACCCGCCGACCAGTCGTCGAAATTCGATTCGAGCTCACATCGTGTTCAACTTCGTACAAATATGGAAGCAGACAACATACAAATACACACTATGACATATAACACATATAAAACTTACATATACAACATATGAACAACAACGTACATAAATAATACAATTGATCGCTATGCTTATTCCGAAATTGCGGTCATAAGATTAGCTTCTAATGTATAATTAATTGATCTCCATTATACATTCAGGGAGCAATTGACGTTTTTTTATAACAAATCTAAATTTTGCATTCTAAATACCGAAGATGCATTGGTCTTTTTGTTTAACGATAAAGAATTGCAGCGAAGATGCAAAATTGTGCCATCTGTTTGTAGAATAGATTAAACACAAAAATGATATATTTTTTAAGTAGATGTATAAAGGTTATAAAAATATATTTTATTGCAGATAGATATATATCCGAGTTCTGTGTAGAGACACAATTTCCACGAGATAACATGATTATCTCTTCTAATTTCAAAATATTTTTTAACATAACTCTAATTCGGCAATTACTTGAAATCAAGTCTGTGTCGGTTGTTCCCGTCCTATAATAAAGTACAATTAGGCAATACTAATGGAACAGAAAATAATAGATAAAACGCATCTGTTGCAGTTCAGTAATTTTGAATTATTGACGACTGGCCTGCGGAGAATTTTCAATTTATCGCGTCGGAGATCGAAACGATATAATCGAGATAACGCGGCGAACGAAATCAATCTTTGATGAAGCGCGTCGGAGCTTTCTTATTTAATTATGGCGTTTCGTTCTTCGAAGCGATGCGTGCGGTATCTTAATTTTTCATTGTTCACAGAAGGAATGAAGAATCGAACAGAGAAAGAGGTGTGTGTACAGTGGGAATGGTTGGCTGCTATAATATGAGTAAAAAAAAAAGAAAAGGAAAGTCAAAACTTACTCTCCCGTTCCCTCCCGCCTTCCTCTCCCTTTATCTCCTACTTTTAAATCCATCACTTTTGGAAACTCCTCGAGTGTCGGCCCGATATGGACACCATAAAGCGAGATGTTTCCCGACGGTGAGAAAATGACTGTAAATTGCGAGGACTAATGTAATACGTAAAAAAAAAGAAAAAGAAAATGTTTACTAATACGTTGTGTTTTAACATACTTGTCGGATATTATTGGTTGTCGAATATGTGTCCTACAAAAATTCAAAACTTACGACGAGTTGCGACTAAGATAGACCTCTTCCTTTCGTTTTGTTTTTATATGCAGTTGTTATTCGATATTTTGTTGTACGAATATGCTGGCATGTTGAATCGTGGATGAGAACCAAGAGTCGCGAAGCTGGACATATCTATTTTTTGCGAGGCGCAATCCGCTCGTTGCAGCGTTTAAGTTTCGCATGTCCAACTATTGTATTAGGACCGCTTGTGACGACCTCTTTTGTCCATCGTTTCCTTGAGCGAATTCGATTCACGGTTTTATTTAGCTCAGCAAACACGCAGCAATATTTTGTACAATGCAAATAGACTGTCGTAAAACTTGTCGCAACGGTACGAGCAGATTGCGCGTCGTTTTTAATAGAGAAGAGAAGTAACTATACGGACTAGAGGAAAATTAACATTGTGATGTTCATTGATCAAATATGTCAAAAGAAGAAGGCCCACTGGTTGAGGCCCGACATTTCTGAGTACACTATAAATAATAAATATTATGTAAAATTTATTGAATACTGTGCACACACTTATTGCATACCTTATATCCATTATGTACCAAATATCTAATAATGAAGAACAAATTAAGTAAATTAATAGTTATTCTAAATTTCTACAGTTTAAATGGTTTATTTAATAATATAATTTTAGAAAGCTTTCTCGAAAGCTTTTCAAAATTTAAGAAATGACTAAACTTTAAGAAAAAATAAAGGTAAAAAAATAAAGATTAGAAATAAGATTGCATTTAAATTCAGAACAGAAAAAACCGACAAATATTAAAAATGAATGAAAATATTGATTAAAATAGCAATTTACAACTGTTATAATAAAACCAGAAAAATCATTAATAATAAAGATTAACAACAATGATTACTTAAATAAACAAATTCAACGGCGTGTTTATTTTGCTGAAGAGAATCCAACTAACTGAAGAGGATCACACATCAATAAAGATCGGAATGAGTAGTAAAATGAGTATTAAAATTCACAATTAATTATAAATATAATTATTTGTGTTTGTATTTTAAAATTTCATTGATCACATGTAATCGCGTACCAGATACTGATCAATGATTTTACCGTTATATTGTTACCTTACTTTAAAAAATGAAATAACTAGAAACATGTGATTTTACTATGAATGAATTAAATAAATATTATACTCTATTATCATTAAAAGTGAATTAATTGAATTTCTTAAAAAGTTGCTAAAATTATTACGATTAAAAAATGATAGTTTAAAAAAATTTATCGTAACTCAAAAAAGTCGTTTTTTTTTAAGAGGTAAAACAAAAACAACAATCTAATCATGTCAAGAATATATTTATTTTTGATGATATTATTTGATTAGTCAATAATTTTCTATCAAAAATAGGTTTTTCCTTTTTTTAAAAAACTTAATTTTTTTTAAAGTGTCACTTTAAAAATAGAAAAGCGATAAATCAAACAAATAAAGAATTTCAGCCATTTCGAATATAAATTTTGGCCTCTCCCGTATAGAAATGAGTAGTACTGCAAAAAAAAAATGTACTGCATAAAGAGTAGATTAAAACTGCGTAAGTGCCAATTACTACTTGTATAATAGCTGCAGTGTTACGACTTTATTAATACGGCGTATAGGACACATTTTGTTTCTTATGCTTGTAGGCTGTTTCGATTGATGATCTTTTATTATATTTAAAAATATTTCTAGATAAGAAATATTATTTTTTTTTATCCATCTGTTTCTTCTTCACAAGATTTATTTCTGCATCCAAGGTCTTTCTTGTTATGCCGTCACTGTGCAGTGACAGCACATGTAAGAATAATGCCCTGTTGTAAGTTGCTGCGCTTATCATAATACACATTTGATAATCTAGAATATGCCAAAGATTTTTAATATACTATACATACGAATATTTTGTTAATGACATTTCTCAGCTCTGATAATTCTGATGATGATCAATTGGAGAAGTAGAATGACATTTAAAGTACCAAAACAATTTTCTGCAAAGATTTAAGGATCTAAAACTACGTATTTAATTTTTAATATTTCTGTTATTATCTACAAAATGGAATACACTTGATAAGTGTAAGCGAGAGACGCTCAAAAATGGATGAAGTTCAAAGTTTAAATTATATCAAGATAAAAAATTAAGGTTTTGAATCAGTCGCTGAATCTATAACATATATGAAAAATATGATAGTTTTTAGGCATTTCATACATCCCTTTTCCCTCCTCTTTCGTTTATCTTAATAAAAAAAGTCGCGTTGTCTTGTGGCAGAGACAAATTGTGACGGCCAATCTCTCTTACAATTAGAGTATTTCTTTGCGAAACAATGCCACCAGTTTGGCGCGAACGTCGTGGAATTTATACTGGCGGACGATATTTCACGAGGTATCACGTCCGTTGCGAATTGCATTACGGACGTTCAATGACGTTGCTGCAACGGGATGCATGTGCAGACATGCAAGCCGTTGTTTGAAATAAACGCATGCACGTAGGTCGTAGCCAATCGCGGCTGGTCGAATGTGCGCCATAAGGTAACATACCACGCGCATTCATCGCAAATACACGATTGTAATAAGCGATAAAGCCGCGATTGCGCAGTGTGGGAAAACAACTCGACTGCCATTTTTCGCTACGTGAAAATCCATCCTGAGACCGACAGTGACGTGATTCGATATGGATAATACAGATGTGATTTTCTTTTTGTTGAACAATTTTTTTTCGTTGAAAGAAAAAAATATATGTACAAAAAATGAAAATTGTACAGGATTATTTGTTTTTCAAAATGAAATGCTGAAAAAATTGTGGGTGCGCTGAAAGATTCTCTTTTGAAATATGATAAAAAATGGCTATACATAATTTTATTGAATATATGTGTGCTTGCGTATTTTGAGTCTGTTAAATTTTAAAGATTTTGAAAAAAGGAACTATAACGTTTATTTAAATTTTATTGCTGGGGATTAGTAAAAGTATTTAATGTACGACGTTTTACCTACACACTTATCTAATACATTTATCACTGCGACTCTCAATGCAAGATCCAAAGTTCAAGTTTTTCTGAAGCCACAATTATTTCTCTATCAAAAAAAAGAGACAAAGTTTATTTAATTCTTTAAAAATAAAAATAGCTCTGCAGCAGAAATGGATGGATTTCTACCTTCCATCAATTTTCAAAAACGTTTCAGTTATCGAAATAAAAATATTAATGCTCTATTTTTAAAGTCACCGGGTGCGAAAACAAATTGAGATATCGGGAAGCTGTAATTAATACAGATTTAATTGAGAAACAATAAACTCTTATCAAATAGAGCATCATCAGCGCGCATTTTCACAGAGCGAAGGGGACTTTTGCGGAGGCGGTTGGCAGGTCTGGTTTGTCTGTTTCTACTTGGCCTACTCTCCGTGTGTTCCGCATAGGTTTTCGCAATCGCCGTGCGGAATCGCGGTAAAATCTCGCGATTACATTCACGATCGATTAGGCTCGGCAGCGCGGCTAATGAACCTGAGTGTGACGATGCAAGGCGCTATAGTCGGCAATCCGTTGCAGCGTCCTGCGTGATCGCGTAATTTACTCCGAGGCGTTGTGAAAATCGGAGCGACCGTCGTCAATCACCATCGCGACGGATGGTGACGCGGAGTGTTTTTTCTGAAAAATGTGGCGGTGCTTTCAACGAAAAACGTCACCTTGTGCGGCCGAATACGACATTGAGGAACGATTGGCGGAAGACTCGAAAGATCCAACGCACTTCCTCGACTTGAGGTCTCGTGAAAATTTCCGTGCGGTCTCGTGCGCATACGTGCGCAATAATGCATGTATAATTGATGCACGGCGGGCTGTTTCACACGGATATCCCTTTTCTCAATCGAAGTGGGTGAGACACCTCGATTCTCGCTGATAGATAGATGTTTTAGGCTCTCCGTACAAGAACATGATCCGTAACACGTTACGTTAAACACTGAATCGTTAGTTGAAGCTTGTACGTGACAGTAAAAATATCGACTTACGCATAAAGACAATCATAACGTAATATTTAATGTTACGTTATGATTTTCTTTATGATGTAAATTTACTGTTACGTATAGACTTCAGTTTACGATTAGTACTTAATGTAACGTAATGTGTTATGGATGTTCTCGTAGGGAGAGCTTTAAACATTTTTCTTCTCAGTGCAGCTAAAAGTCGTTTGGTTACTGACGATCATTTTCCTACAATATAAATTGTCTTATTGGGTTTCTCTGTGTGGATATTTCAATGTGATTGTAAAATTTAATGACACTTTTTAGTACATGTGTCATTATTATAGACTGATCTCGGCCTCATCTGGATGCCAATCTACTGATTGAAATATTTTTTTAATATTTGTGAACGAGTTTTACTATTCCTTTATTGTGGACTGTAATGACTATATGACTGTTACAATTATCGCATAGTATTTGAAAACTATTCCATGGAAAAATATTTATCTAAATATACAAAAAGAGATGTAAGCGCCATTAATCTGACAATATTTGCACATTGCATAACATATACTGCATCAATTAACATTTTAATAAATATTTAATACAAATGTGTATTTTTTAAATGCACATGTCTATTTATTTTAGATTTTTTTATGTACACTGAAAAAAATACTAAATTTCAATAAATATTTTCGAATAATTTTAAGTAAATATTTACTAAACATAAACATATATTTATTTGATACAAAAACCATTAATTTGATTTAATTATCATTTTTTTATCAATTGAATATTTATTTATTGTAAGTAAATGTTTATTTAGTACTATTCAAAGAAATATGTATTAAGATTTAATAATTTTTTTTAGAGCACAATATATATACATATATGTTTTTATTATTATTGTTATGTAAGCTAAAATAGTTTATTAGAGCAAAGTATGAAATATTATTTATGAATTAAAAGTAATAAATATTGTTTTTTATTTGTTCTTAAATTTTATAAGTTGAAAAATAATTATAAATAAATTATCATTTTAAGTATTTATATTATACATCCAGAGAAAAGATTGTTTCGATTTAAAGAAATTTTGGTTAAAGAAAAAGTTGCTTCGATTTAAAGAAATTTCAGTTAAAGAAAAAAATTTCTTGGATTTATGAAAAAATTTTATTTAATTTTAAAAAATAATGTTTAAATCAAAGAAATTTTTTCACAAATCAAAAAAGAAATTTTTTCTTTAATTGAAATTTCTTTAAATCGAAATAACTTTTTCTCTGGATGTATGTTTATACGAAATGTATATTTAAAATAAATTAGCGAAACTCAAGTAACAGTAATTAATTCAAGTAACAGTAATTAATAACAATATAAAAATAATACATTTCAACACTCTTCCCTCTTTATAGAAGCAGTATTACCATATAAGAAGTAAAATATTGCATAATTTTATTTCAAGAAATTTTACTATATTAACTTAAAGAACACGGTTTGCCTTCAGTGACATCATGGATGATGATATTGATGATAAAGATGATACAAAACGGTAACAACATATTAAAAATTCTTACGCAATTTATTATATGTTTGTCATAATAAATATTAAACGTATAAATATTTTCAGAAAATCGCGTAATCTCAGCGAAAAGAAACGCAGGGATCAATTTAACATGCTTGTAAACGAACTCGGTAGTATGGTTAGTGCAAATGCGCGGAAAATGGATAAATCTACGGTGTTGAAGTCGACAATTTTATTTCTAAAGAACCATAATGGTACGCGCAATATTCTTTACAATACTCTATTTGAAACCAAAATATCTTTTCAAATATTTCTAATTAAAATTATTAAGAGTTAGTAAACTCTAGTAAACGAGTTACTTTTTGTTTTTAAATTATTTGATAAACTTTTAAATATCATTTTTTAGAATTACAATATATTGTTGCTTATTTTCAGAGATAGCAGTTAGGTCGAGAGTACATGAGATTCAAGAAGACTGGAAACCGTCTTTTCTCTCTAATGAAGAATTTACTCATCTTATATTAGAGGTAAAATTGTATGTACAAAGTCATAAAAGATGAATAAGATGATAAAACTAAGATGATAACTAGACTAAGATGAATTCTGCAATATTGTAATATTTATTAGAAAATTTATTACTTAGGAATGTTTACTAATATACATTTATATAAATGTAGGCGTTGGATGGATTTATAATGGTTTTCTCTTCAAACGGACATATTTATTACGTCTCTGAAAGTGTTACGTCTTTGCTTGGGTATCTTCCAAATGAATTAGAAAACACGTCTATTTACGATATAACATATCAAGAAGATCAACCACATTTATACAATGTTTTGTTGAATCCCGGAAGCACACGAGATAGACGTAGTATAAAAAAAGGTATTTTTTATAGTTATTAGAAATTAGAAAATTTATGTGATTTTTATTAAATTTTTTATATTGACAGAGGATCAAATTTCTTTTACGTGTCATATCAAAAGAGGCGGACTCGATTTTCGGGAAGAATCTATCTACGAAATTGTACAGTTTATCGGATACTTTCGTGAGTAAAATATCTTAAAAATTTTAAATTTATTAAGTAATTTTATGTGATAAAATCTGTCTTTATCAAATTACTTTATATTTAACACTTTAGAGCTAATGTCAAAATTTATAATACAGTTACAATGCTGGGTTTGATCCATTTAATCTATGTTGACTAAAAGACATTAATTAATCTCAAAATGATAAAATTTATAATTATTATACGTATAAAAAAGAATAAATACTAAGTTTATTTTAATAATAATATTTTTAATTTGCAAATGTAACGTAAAAGATATAATTAAGAGGATCTAATAAACACATCGTTAGTTCCGGAAAAATCCTTTAAAATTAAGTTTTATTAAAGAATATTATGTTATTACAGGTTCTGCTATGGATAGCGATGTTGACAATCTAGTGCCAAGTCAGAAACTTAGTAATACTAGCGGATCAGATAACAAGTATTATCGCTAATCATATACATAGTATAAAAATAAAATCGCATAGCAATATATTTACGTTTAATTTTGCAGATTGGTTTTCGTGGGTACGGGACGTTTGCAAACTCCTCAGCTTATTCGAGAATTATCCGTGACAGATAGTACGAAGTCAGAATTCACATCTCGTCATAGTCTCGAATGGAAATTTCTATTTTTGGATCACAGAGCTCCGCCTATTATCGGATATCTGCCTTTTGAAGTTTTAGGCACTTCTGGTTACGATTATTATCACGTAGATGATTTAGATAATGTAGTTACGTGCCATGAATCTTGTAAGTATTAAAAAAATATAATCGATCATGCAGATGATTATTAATCGTGTTATCTTTTAGTGATGCAGAAAGGTGAAGGAACGTCTTGTTACTATAGATTCCTCACGAAAGGTCAGCAATGGATTTGGTTACAAACTAGATTTTACATTACCTACAATCAGTGGAACTCAAAACCAGAATTCATTGTGTGCACGCATTACGTGATCAGTTATGTCGATGTAATGAAGAAATTGCGTACAGAATTGGGGGATTATGACAAAACGCAAAATCAAGATATTTTACTGCCCGTAAAACAAGTAAGACGACAGATGACGCGCGATTATAGAATATTTCATAATTATTGCGATATTAATCATACAAGATAAAATAAATGCGTATATATAAATGTAAAGAATAAAAGCTTCAGAACGTATTTTATTACATTGAGAAAAAGTTCTAGTTAAAACTACGAACGAACCAGTAGATTCTGATCATATAAAAAATTATATTTATCATAATTAAATCTCATTATCTTAATTAGAATTTTGATTAATATAGCCAGATATCTTTGACTTGTTCATTTTCAACCAGAAATTTTTCTCATTTAAACTTTATTGTATTTGTGTGTATATGTAATAGGTATTTATCTTTGATTTATATCTTTACGCATATATAGGTGGCATCTTGTCAATCACCGTTAACGCAATGGTCAACCAAATCATCGAGAACATCGAAGTCACTGACAGTCGCTTCTAATCTCCGACATCGCGGTGACGATTCCAATACGTCCTCAATATCTGTCTCATTACGAAGTTCACCACACTCGCAAATAACACATGGATCGAGATCGAACGCAGCATCTGCAAGCAGTTCTGTTGTGTCAAAACCAATAGCTTCGGTTGACAGTAGGCAACAGCAACAAACACAACAACAGCAGCAATTACAGCAACAGCCACAACATCAACTTGATGTTAATCAGTCATGTATTAATTTTATGGATCCCACGCAATATGCAACGGTTAATTTGCAATCGGTAGTTACAACCGAATTTGCAACTCCTGCTGCTCCAATTCTGTCAACTGTACCTACTCATGAGGTAAAGAAATAAATAATTTGTTTTATTTTAATATTAATTACATGTTTGCGTTTATTTTATTGCACAATTATATAAAATGAACAATTTTCTGTTTCCAATTGCATACAATTTTTAACACACAATACAAATTTTATTATACAATCGTATTTTGATTAATTTTCATTAAATTGAGAATAAATTGGAACAGTTTAATTATATTTATGAAAATTTTTATTTACTGTATTCTCGATATTTTCAGATATTGCATCAGCAAGGTATAGTAATGACTTCTGCGCAAAATCAAATACAGGATGAATTGCAACGGAAGCATGAAGAGTTACAGCAATTAATTGTTCATAAACAGCAGGAAGAATTAAGAAGGGTTTCAGAACAATTGTTTATCGCTCGATATGGAATTCTCACGCCATTATTGAATGTTTGTATCTTTTAAATATATTTATATATTAAATAAGAAATTATGTCTAACTCTCTCTGTCTCTCTCTCTCTCTCTCTCTCTCTCTCTCTCTCTTTCTCTCTTTCTCTCTTTCTCTCTTTAATTTTTGGATAACTGATTATTTTTATTTGAGACATGCTTTTATTTATTTTGTATGCTTTTTACATATTTTGCTTTCTAAACTTTTTATTTGTGTTGAACATTAAAATTAGAGTTATTCACTTAACTATCTGCTTAAAAAATCTTTTGTGATTTATATTTCAGGCTGGTATACCGTATAATCCATCAAATCCGTGTCAACAAGCAAATCGGTGTAATACAAATAATACTAACGTGCAGTTATCCACATCCAACAGTGTACAAGGCGTAAATGTGCTTCCCATACCAATTACCGTACCAGTGCCTATAGTGCCTACGGAATTATTTTCGCATTCTTTACAAGTGAATCCGTCACCAGGCTCGACGCATGGCAATGTGGGCGCTATAATTCAAACCCAACAGCATTCGCAATTGCAACAGCAACAGCAGCAGCAACAGCAGCAACAGCAACCACAACCACAACAACAACAACAACAGCAACAACAGGGGTCATCGCAACAGGAAGGTAGCAATTCCAGTCTCGGTCTCGTGCCTTTCCAGATCTGTCTACAACAGGCCGAGATGATCTACAGTAACATGGAGGCGTCCTCAAATCAACAACAGAGATCATCGCAAAATTAAAAAAGACTCTCTTTTATTTTTGATATTTTAACTGTATGAACAAAAACTTTCTTTTTTTTAAATGTAGAACTCTACAAAGTTTTTTTAAGTTCGTTTTGTTTATTTATTGCATGTACTATACAAAGAAAACAGTAGATAATATTTTATGTAAAAAAAATATAAACATATATTTTTTCTTGTCCTTCTTTTTCTTTTTTCTTCTGGAGAAAGATGCAATTTTTGTAAAAAATGTTATATGTTGCATGTGTACAAAAAGATTCTAATTGTAAAAAGTTATAGTAAGTTCATTGTATAATAGCAGCAGCCAAATATTATGTAAACTGTGACAGAATTTTGATATAGTGCAATAGTGTACAAGTTTTTATATATTGGCTATTTCTCACTCTACCATTGTATATTTGTTTATAATTGTATCTTTATTTTCTTGTGCTATGGTCTATAGAGAGTTCTATATACATAAATATAATGAACTATTTATTAATTTTATTTTCAAGAAACTAATATATGAGACAATATAAAGCAAAGTATTATTGTGCAAATATGTATTTTACATAAAATCAGAATTTATAAAAATTAATTATATTTATTATAAAATGATTTTGCAAAGAATTAAGTTTTGATAAGGAACATTAACTTAAATTTCACTTAAAGTAAAATTTTTTAATTTAAAGTCTGATGACTTTTTTTCCAAATTACAGATACTAATATTTTTTTTCTGCACATAATAATTGTTACGTTTTGCTTAACCTGATTTTTTTTGAGAATGTAATTTATATTTTTATACAGAAAAATAGATTCTTAAATTACATATCTATTTTGGAAAAAGATTAAATAATTAAATATTTAAAAGATACTGAGTTAATTGTTTGTGTATAGTGATAAAATTACAAATATTCTCAATAATATGTAACAGTAATATTGAGTATATAATGAAAGAATCTACATATTTATTGGATACCATTAAGAAGAACATTACTAAGAAAGTAAAAGTATACTATATTTAATATAAAATTTTTATATAAATTTTGATAATCTTTTGAGAATAATTTGATTGTTTTAAACAATTGTAAACTTTTATAATAAATGAGATAGTTACAATCGAAAGAAATCATCACGCTTGTGTAGGTATATTTATTGAATTTGTTTTTCTAGTAAATGTTATCAAAGTCAACGGAGAAGGGACCAACCTCCATATTTTCCGAAACAGGGTGTGCGTACGTGCGTGTGTGTGTGTGTGTGTGTGTGTGTGTGTGTGTGTGTGTGTATTCATATATTTGAATATTAATGGCGATAAAAATAATATATATTTTGTGGTATGTACATGTATAATATTATCATTTTCATACATATCTAATGTATTATAATATAGATGTATCTTAGATTGCTATAACATTTTTTAATTATTACTTGATATAAATACCGTTAATGTACAAAAAACATTATAGAACAAAAAACAGTAAAATCGATCAAATTACGATTCCATATTGCGTCCATATTGATGTGATGACAATATTCTTCAAACGCTTGCGTAGAATATGAAATACAAAATTAATGTTAATTGATATAAATAATTTTGGCAACGTTGATAATTTCGTATAACATAGTTGACAGTTTCGTATCATATAGTTGACAATATCGCATAATTGACAATTTCGTATCACATAATAACATTTGAAATAAGTGTATATTAAATAATTACTTTTTAAGAAGTGTCTCTACAAGATTTTATTGTTCCTAATGGTATAATTTTTTTTTTTACGTTGTCATAACTAATATACATTTATTACATTTAACAAAAATTATAAAGATGTATATGATGTACAATATTTATTTAATATATTGAGATTTAAAAGTGTTTTAATTTCTTTCTTTAAAAAAAATGATCCTTTTATATAAGTATTTTATACATAAATTGTGACACTTATTATTTTAAAACATATGTAAAAATAACAAAATAAAATTAATGGTGTAGTTTTTTTAACGCATCCGTTAAAATTTGTAATTCTTGATTTACATTATTTACAAGAGCTTCCACTTGTTGTTTACTGTCAATAATGCTGATACTCTGTGTATAAGCATCATATCTCACTCCGAATTTCCTTGGTATATTTTGAGCAAATTTTCTAAAATTAAAAAATTTATTATTCTTTTATTTAATATTAACAATTCTTTTTGTGTTCAATTGGAACTGTTACATAAATTGTAGATTTACATGATAACTGCAAACAAACAAGGATACATTTTATGCGTAAGTAAGCGCGATATATCTTGTACAAAATGCGTTATATCTTTGTATTGCCAATATTGCGCGCTATAAAATAGGAAGAAAATAAGTGTGACATGGGGCAAGATAGATAAGAACGAAATCTGCGACATTTGCTTATTGTTCTTATACTTACATCATCTTTTGCTTGGCATCATCGAAGTCTTCGGCAACAAAATATACTGGTTGATATTCTGTTATCGGATATTTTTGTAATGAAGTCTTCGGTGGATCAAAAGGTCGAAGTTCTGACTTGCCGCTCAAACAATATTCCAATTCGCCAAAAGATGAGAGTAAACCGGCACCATATGCCTTTAATTCTCCATTTTGTCGACATATTCCGTATTCTACCGTAAACCAGAAACACTATAAAAATAAAATTATATTTTAAATAAATTTAACACTATTTATTTTTTAAGTAACTTTTGATATATTATTTGTATTTTTTTTTATTTATTTTTATATTATTAACAAACTCTAATATTATTGAAAATCGAATTTACAATAGTATAGTTACAATTTTTTTTAGTCTTTGAATTATCATAAATCTTTACACCATAATCGATTATGTATATTTTTATAGTTCTATGGCTATAAAACATTACAAGTTTTAAATTTAAGATGTTTTAATACCGTTGCAAGTTTCTCTATATATTCATCTGGAGCACCAAGGGACGCTAAACCGATAACTTGTGAAAACTGTGCAAAAGATGGATCAGCTAAGAGTGGTACATGGCCCAAAATCTCATGGCATACGTCCGGTTCCGGTGTGTAAAGTGGTTTACTGCTATGTCGTATGTATTGCGTGCTATGAAACACTCTGAAGGCTAATCCAGCCAGAAAATCACGTGAAGATAATAATCCCGCCACTGGGCGAAGTGTAAAGCCCGTAGAATCTGAAGAAATTGATTAAAAAGTAGAAAATCGATTACAAAAATAAAATTATACCATTGAATTGCGCTGTCAACTAGTTAACAATTTGTCTTTTCTGTGATATAGATAAAAAAAAAAAGAAAAATTGATTCTGTGATATAGATAAAAAAAAAAGAAAAATTGATCAAATAGAATTTACGCTATCTGGCATTGATATAATTAAAAAATTCTTAAACGTCTTACTATAAAAATAATACATTGACATATAGCATACTCAACCCAATTCGATTTTTTTATAACTTTCATAAAAATGAATGATATTGTAAATTTTTTTTCAATTGAAACGTCAAATATTAAGAAATGGTACTAAATGTACGTATTTTTCATAAAGAACGTATTAATCATAAAGAAGCAATAGGAAAAGCATTCGAAAAGTCGGATACTATCGCAAAGATGTTCAGAATTAAATTAACTATAAAACTTTCTTTTCCACAGCTGCATACATTTAAAAATGTTAATGAGATGTTACCTTTCAAGAAGTTGGATATATCTTCCAATTGGGGTATATTGTCTTCTCGATAGCCACAGTTTTCGATAAGTAGTGGAAAAACATGATTATGTTCTCTGCATGCGTACTTTGGATAAAGCTTAGTCAAATTTTTGAAGATTACGCCCCACGTAGCTATTTCTTCGGGCGTGTATTCCACTTTTGGAATAGGTTGTCCGCTAAAATATGGTACATATATTGCATATAATATTTTTGTCTTTTAAGTTCTAATAATTCTAGTCTAATAATATATATATATTTTTACAATACGATATTCAATCTCCTGTTCTATCCCAAGGAACATGACATCAAAAAAAGTCAAAATGATGTACTTTGATGTCAAAGTGATGATTTTTTGTTACAAAATTTAATTGTTTATTGAGCTTTAAGCATCAAAGTAAAGTCATTTTGATGTTATTTTGATTTTTTGTTGATAGTTTTGTGTGTTCTTTAGGACTTACTGTTTGTAATGATAAGCAATGTCTGCGAAAAATTTTCTTCTTTTTCTATATACAGGATCCGTAAAACCAGGATGATCGCTGTCAAGTTCGGCACCGTAAGATAAAATTTGATTAGCAAACTTATCGAGATCGCGTATTCTCCTTGGGAACCATGGTACAGTATTCATATTATCTTTGTGATCACTAAAAAGATGTAATAATTTACTTTTAATTTTCCCAAGTAGAACAAGTCACGGTAACGTCAAAATGACATCATTTTGATGTTATCGTGACTTGTTGTTCTGCTTGTTGGATTATTATGTACGTAATACACAATTTTATTGTTTACATAAATATTGAATAATTTAAATATGTACGATATGTCTTGATGAAATAGAACGCATAAATTGATTATGAAAGAAGGTGAATTGATAGAGATGATTGAAATCTTTTGTTTTGCAATAATGAGAATTAAAAGAAATGACTATAAGAGTTAAATAAACTTTTGTTATAGTTTCATATATTACAACAAAGTAATTAATAATTAATAAATAAAAAAAAATGAATAATAAATATTTTTTACTTATCAAGTAGATTCTTAGCCTAGTAGATTAATAATATTAATGTGAAAATTTAAAACAGATCAATGTAATTATATAATTCTCAATCTGTATAAAAAGTTAATTATTTTTATAATTTATATTTAAAGGCAGTAACATTTATCTGAAATATTTGTAATAAAATTATTTTATTAAATAATATTATAATATAAATGCTTAAAGTATTGGCTATTTACTTGTGAATACTTTTTATTCTAATAAGAATAAAATTGTTTCTAACTTGAAATAATTCTGAAGTTATTGCCTGTGGTACATGTTTGTTTAATTGAAAATATATTTACAAGTAAATAGATAGCAGTTTAACTACAAAAAAAAACAAATTTAAGAATATGAGATAAAAGTCAATTTTAAGATTAATTTAACTAAAGTTGTCAAATAATTATTATAACATTAATAATAAAAATTAATAAATAAAACGAAATTATTAAAAAATAATTTGACAACGTTGCTATTTATAACAAGATCATTATAATAGAAAAATTGAAACATATATTACAATTAATTTTTAAATATAAATGTAACTCTTACCTAGAGATTATCGAAAAATAGCTGCATTGATCTTGTAAAGCTTCAATTACAGAAGCTATATTACCACTCGGTGCACAGTCTACCATAAATTCATAGTTGTTTGGTCGTCGAAGAGAACTTCTGGACTCAATATGCAATAGATTCACTTTGTGTTTCTAAAATAATGTGTGCCCTTAATCTCATATGTGTTCTTTAAATTTATACGTTTGATCAATGAAATTTCACTTACGACGAAAAGCTGAAGATATTTTCCCAGCGATCCAACTTCATCTTCTTCTTTTGGAGAAAAAATTAAGCAAGTGAAGGCCGAATTTCTATCTTCCTTGATATAATTTCTGCCATAGAGTAGTTTTGGCTGACACTATATTCAAGATTAATTATAATGCGTTAAATAAATCTTTCTTTTATAAGAATATTTTAATATCTCTATTCGTAAAAGTCAACGTTTTAATATGTTGATATTTCATGATTTTCGAATGTTTTGATAAAAATTGTAATTATTATTTTAAAGGAGTTATATTGTGGTTATATTTATAGCTAATATTTTATTCAATAAATATTCTCATGGAAATGGATAGACATGATAAGAAAGTTTTCCGTATACTTTTGAATATGTAAAAGTGTACGTAGATTTAAAATTAATAATTTTGTTTATTAAAAAACATATACCATTGGTACCATTACAATTGTCATTTTATGATTAAATAATAGCGGTTTTTAAATTCGAATAATATTCACGTGTCGCTATAATAAACTGTGAACGGCAGACAAATTAAAACTATGATTAAACGATATATATATATATAGCAAGAACCTTCCCCTCCTGTTCTGATCAAGTATTGCATGATAATTCCGATAAATGTCAAAATTTTTGCATACATAATGGTTTTTTTACATACGTATAAAAAATGTATAAATATCCGTAGATAAAAATAGTATGACGTACGTATTATAACAGTAACAACAAGAACTCATTTTATAGACAATTAAGTTATTTTTATTATGAAAAAGAATCATAAAAATTTCGTATACTGTAATCCGGGAAAGATCTTACATCATTTTGGAGAACAGTTTTGAAATCAAGGTTGATTTCTCTGTGTAATTTGCTTGAAATGAAAAAAATTGCTTCACTGACATTTATAAATAATGTTGATCTGCTGTATCGAATGTCAAAATAATATCTTTGGAGGATTCGCTTTTTGCATAAAATTAATTTGTTTTTCATATGGACTGTGGATATATTTATTATCATTGTCTAACTGATGTTTTTGTCATTTCTTTTATACATTTTAAAATCATTTTGACGAAATGTTCATACGAAACAATAACTGCGATTATGAACATCATGAAATTCCATAACAATCAACTATTTAACCGTTTGTGAGTATCAGACATCTTCCATCAACATAACAGTCATCAAGATTACTACATAAATTGGAATACATTACATCATGTTTTTTATCTCTTTGACGATGGTAACTAATGTAAAAAGAGAGAGAAGGATAATATCTGAAGATGGCTCAATATAAGAAACATATAATAATATTTTTAGATTCTATTATGTATGTATTTAACTCTAATTAATAATATTTATACGTTCATATTCTTAAAAAATCGATTCTTATTTGTTCGTTTATCGTTATATTGTTATTGCATTTATAAATTATGTGTATAAGAAAACAATAATTATTATATTAAGAAAGTCTACATAAGAAATTCTTGAGAATCTTATCATTATTATAAAATACAATTTTATTTAAAAGTACGCAACACTGAGGGTTCCGTTGTTTGATTAATAATATGGTTCTCGAAAAATCCAACACGCAACAATTAATTTTATTTCATTATCTTTTATGTTTAAACATCGATCGATACGATGGTACGTATATTGAATCAAAATTAAATTGTTCTTTAAAATTTTGTGTATCTGTTTATGTAAAGTATACACAAAGCATTAAACATTACATAATGCTTGATATAATTAATTATAGTTGTCTAATTTATATATTGAAATCTCAATGTCAAAAGTATTTGATTTATTTTAGAAAACGTTATTTAAAAAATATTTTAGTGAAGTTTTATTAAAATTTTTTATTAAAATTGTATTAATTTTATATTAATTTACAATTAGAAGCAGCGTAGTATAGTATTTAAAAATATAACATATTTTTAGAATGTAATAAAATTAGTAGATTCTCTGCACTCAATAATATCAAATCACGATATTTTTAAACTATAAATTTTAAACCACGCGATATTATAAATATCTTTATAAGTTCATATTGTTTCTCTATAAATTTATATTATTATTTATAAATTAAATTAATAATTTATATATTAAATTAATACTTATAAATTAAATTAATAATTATAAATTGTTTCTGTTTATAAACTGTTCTATGTACATTTCAAGTAATGTATACAATACAGTATAGAAGTAGCATATATATTTTTATTATTAAATATTGTACTCTCTCTATAGGTTATATTATTAGTTATAAGTTTAATTTGATTGCTTTTATTTACAAATTATCCTATAAACTTAAACTTTTAGAGGTGGGTTGTACTTAAAATACAAAATATAAATAATAGGGAGCATACAACCACAGCATTAGATATTTTAAGAGAAAGTCATATATTTAAAATTATATTATGATAAAAAGCAGACGTTTTATATCCTATAAATGTTTTTCTATTCTTCTCGGTTCAAGTAAGTTGAATATTTAACCATTGTAATAAAAAATAATTATCTCTACAAAATAGTTAGCATTTCATTTTAAAAAGTATATTATAAAAAATAATAATACATCTTGTTTTGTGTGTGCTATTTTATAATAATAATTTTTTTATAATTACCTTATCTGAAGCTGAGTTGCTATTTTCTATTTTCTTAAACATTTGATTTGTTTGCGTGTACATTTTATTATTAAAAATTAAAAAATATAAACAATTAGTAAACTTTCTTTTAAAATGATTCAGTTGTCCTTCGATCAACGACGCAGAAGAACTGATGCTTGGAACGGCGTGGCTATCAGTTTTAATAAGTTTCTTAATAGAAGAATCGTTACGAACTAAACTTTGTGAAACACTAAAGCATTAATTGATATATGCAGTGCGTTGCGATGAAATATGTTGTAAACTCATCGTAAAGGGTCAAGGAGTTATCAAAAAAGTAATACGATAATGTAATATTATTTACGAATTTTATGAAATCATTTATCTTTTATAAATATACATATATCTATTTTTTTATATGAATCTTATTTATCTCTACGTATTGCTAATCATATATACTGGTGTCTTAAAATTCGCGTGCACAAGTTAATATTAATAGTCCATTCTTATTTCAAGATTGTCTTATTAAGAATAAATAAGACTTTGTGATTAGTTTATGACATCAAGATTAAACAATAATCAAATGAAAATAAAAAATGTTTTAAGAACAAATAAAAAAAGAAGATAAAAGTGCCAATATCAGCCAATGTCGGAGTATATAAGTTAACACTTACATTGTTAAAATATTACATTGGTATTGCAATTAGTAATCGTAAATGTTTATAGTTTTGGTATTCTTCACTATGAAAAAGTATAGCAAATATTGAATTAAAAAGGTTTAATAAGAGTATATAATGTTTAAATAAAAATAAAAAACCGATTATACAATAAGTTATGAGATCTACAAAGCAGTCGCGAGACAATTTTGTATTAAAAAATGTCATAGGCCGACATTCATAGTGGTCTCTTTTATTTAAGATAGTTTTATTAAATAAAATTTTAAAATAGTATGAACCAATTAAAAAATCGTGTTAGTATCTTAAGACATTATTTAAGATACTAACTTGAAATAAGAACGGACTATGAAATAAGAACCGATTATAGATATTCATAAGTTAATATTTATAATCAATATTTATAGTATAGATTCTTATATTTTAAGACCGTATTTAAGTACAACCTTAAAATATCATATATAAATCAAAGATTAATATTATTATAATAGTTGAGTCTTATATTTAAGTACAGTCTTATGAAGTCAATCACAGAATTAGCATCTTAAGATATTAAAATAAGAACCGATTATATAATATTTATAGTCCTTATTTTGAAGACCGTTAATAAGTTTTGTTTTAAGACACTCTTTAGATTAAAGTTGGAGAATAAGCAAAGCTTGATCAAAATCTATATACATGATTTTTGCCTTAATCCATTAAGAATCAAAATAAATTTTTTTTCTCAAAATTTAAAATCTTTTTAATGGCGAGCTACTACGCCCTTAAGGAGCCTACTTGCCAAAAATTTTCACTCTGGGTTGGTCGTTTAGGCAGAGGAGGGGAGTGGTCAATTTTGCGACCATTGGTCAATTTTGATCCCAGAGTGATCAAATTAACTTACTTTTTTTGGTCAAAAAATCGACAAGCGGTCTTTAATGGTTAATAAGTGTAAGCTCAAAGTTATCTTATTAAATATTTCATAATCACATAAAGTTATCTTATTTGATATATTGCTATAATAAATAAGATGATATATTGCCGATATATTGCTTGTGATCTTCGTGAAATCATGTCAGTAAAATTTGTGTATATGTGACTTGTCACATGACAAAAACGATCTTTCGGACTGTCTTATTGTGTTTTAGAAACATATCTTATTTGAAATAAGTATAGACTTAAGGTTATCTTATTAACCATGTATTCATAGTCATATAACTATAATATTCGTGAGAGCTCATATTGTTCTCACACGTTAACACGTCATGCGTGCAAGAATGTTAGCACACGTCACCTTGCAAGCGTAAAAGATGTCACTCATGATGAGTTATTATATGAAAGTAAAAGATCTTATTGTTAATCAATTTGTTTATAACAGTTAAGATTCATGTTTATTAGACATAATATAACAATTAAGTTTATTTCTAAAGTTATTTAAAAAATGTAATTAAAGAATTATAATTTAGAATAAAGAAACAATTAATTATTTAGTTATTATTTTATAATAGATACAATTAACAATAATAATTTACATTGTTAACATAATTTCATATACTAAAAAAAATTAATTTTTGCATAATCCTATGCGTATAATTGATTTAAATATAAAAAGTAATCTGTAATAAAAAAATAAGATATTTAAAAATTACTATTTGTTTATTTGATTGTTTACAACAATAGAAATTACAATCCAAGTTTTGTGAAAAACCATCATTATTAGTAACTTTGGGTCAATTAAGTTAATAGAATTATTTTTGTGAAAAAAGCGCAGATATAATAATTTGTTTCAATAATTAGTTTACAAAAATTAAATTAAATGTTTATTTAATTATTTGAACTGTATGTATAATTAAAGCTTTGAATCACATACATATGCATGTGCACGATGTCTTGTTAGATTTCACAAGAATTTTATATGATACAATATATCTAAATCTCAATATTTGATATATGACTATAATTACTTCATAACAAAATTTTTCGATTGATATCACTAATAGCAGCTGAAAATAAGATAAGTATTGAAAATCAGATAAATTCTGGTTCCAAATATTGCATTTCAAACAATATACTTTAATCTTTAGACTGTTGGGAAAGCCACTTTTATAGCTCTTGTAGGTATACAATTAGTAGAGGAAAGTTCCCTATTATGAAATAAATGCCTAATATGAGATAACGACGTTTCGGTTAAACTAATAAATACTATCTATTGGTTCCACT